AACCTTCAGTATGTGCATAACTAACTAATAAATGAACTTGCATGGAAAGGTTGACGAGTACGTCAACTGACAATGTACAGATATGTCCAAGTACCATGTTCCGTATTCGGAAGTTTAGACTCTCTGACTTTGACATAAAGAAATGCAAGAGAAAATTAAAGTGTTATTTCAAATTATCAGGTATAATACAACTATAATAATACAAAATAATTGCATGGTGACAGGAGGAGCGTCATCGTTGTGATTAAGCGACTAAAATATAACTAGTTTAACCATCTCATCCAATATAAATGTGGGTATTACCACGTGTCGACTATCTTTCCCTAAAAAACATCAAAATTTCTATAATAAAAAGACTTGATGGAAAGGTTGGAGGAGTACGTCAATTGACAATGTCCAATATGTCCAAGTACCATATTACGTATTTCGAATTTTAGCTCTCTGACTTTGACATAAAGGAAAATGGTAAGACAGGAAAATAATGTTATTTCAATTATCAGTACTACATACAAACGATAATCAATACAAAGAATAATTGATGTGGGTGACAAAAAAAATTTATTCGGGGGCGTGGTGGATCACCAATTTCGTGCGCGATAACGTAAAACAACAACATTCAAAATAAACTACTTTTGTAAATTATAATTCTAGTCGGATGTATGTTTTAACCCCCTTTCATCTTCCGTACTATCTTTATATCTTAGTCTTTTTATAGTTCTTCTAGACATCAGGTAGAGATGTTTATTTTGACAATCACGTCCTGCAGGTTCTATAGATTCCTCCTAGACTTTTGTGTCTCATTGATTATTTCCGAAATAAATTTGTAATTTCTTATGAAATTTCAATTTCAGAAGAAACTTATTTTTTTTTATGCAACCCCAAAATAGGTATCTATTTGATAATTCAGACTGTTTCATGAGTCAGTTATATAACGTATCAATAAAACCGTGAACTGTAATGTAAGGGAACCTTAAACTGAGTCTCAATGATTTCAGACTAAATTCCCAACAAAATATAAAATAGTAGTAATTAGCTTAAGACGTTTCATTGAGTTTGTATTGTACATCGACCTCATGTTTATGGTTTCCGAATTGGAGACTTAACATCACCTCAGCTTGTTTCTGCATACGACGACATGTTTCTTGAAAGGGTAAACCCTAGTTGATTCATATAGAAGTAGATAGAATTCTACTGAGCTACCGATGACGATATAAAGTTTTAAACGGAGAACCTTGAAGCTTTCACGTACAAAAGTCCGATAGTTACTTGTTGTCCTCCCCAAGGTGTCTGTATGACATCTGGTCACAATTATTTCGAGAAGACTGGAATCAGCAGTACACCCCAAATTTAAGTGGGTAAATAATTAATATTACAAAATTTAACTATGTGGTGTACACAAAGCATAGGGGATTTGGAGAGCCCACATGTGCAAAATTATGACCGTTGAAGATTAACACCCTTTATGCTTTTGCAGAATATTTCTCTTACACGTTATCTTATACAACGCTTTGTTTGTTATCGGTCGTACACATCAAAGATTTAGTTATAACTAAATTTGTTAGTTATAACCATCATTACTCTGGTCAGCTTCCTACTTTGAACTACGCAAAAAATCACTACTGGGCGTTAGCGGTGACAAATTAGTAAACTGTCGGCACTCGCCCCCTCTCCAGCATGCGGGAGGGGCGCGCCCAGACGAGACGAGAGTGCGATACGCTGCGGGCGGGAGCCGCACGCTTCTGCGGGCGCGCGGTTCTTTGCAAAAGTGGATGTGCTTGAATTACTTCGACGTATGTGCAATAGGACCGCCCCGGCCTGGCTGTGGAGTTTGGCAGAGAAGGCATCATAATAGTTGCGGGAGGTCTAGGGATTGTGTAGCTGACCTGCACCTAAGATTCTCAAGTTATATGGGAAGAGGGGTCTTTAGCTTAGTTTTCGTTAAACTTACTCGGTTTGATAAAGGTGTTAAATCCTAAAAGGTCTCTCCCAAATAAACACTTTATTTGCAGGGAGGCCGCGCTGCGCGCACGCGAGACACGCCAGTTACTTGGGTCGCGCGCGCCGCCACAGAGCGCACGCGCCGCGGGAGCAATGTGCGGTAGTCACCCAGGGCAGCAGCGCGATTCGCTTTGGCCGTTCCTCAGGGCGTCGTGAAGACTTCTGTGTTTCAGAGAAGGGCAGGACCCAGCATTATTCCCGTACTTGTTAGCCGGATAATACCAAGCAAAAACATCCTCGCTTGCCCGACTTTTAATACTATTTCAAGAACACTCGGAATAAAGTATTATTTTATTTAAAAAAAAGTTTTTCCGTATTTCATATCGCAAAAACACCATATCCCGACATGCATTGCGGCTAAAACGATCAATGTTTTAGCTTATCAAAACCTCTGAAAAAAAAAAGGTGTCTCTCAGAATCGAAAGAGAAAAACCTATGGAAAAAACACAAAAGCATTGTACACAATTTAAACCAATAAATGTCGTATAATTAACAAGGATAAACTGATGTTTTTTAGTTGATGAGTACTATCACTGTTAAATCATTTGATCATTGGTTTTATTTTGAAAAGGTCGAGACCGGAAATACTGTTTTCAACCCATAACTTTACATGGAGGCTGCCGCATACCTCAAATCATCTTCGTAATATATCTATCAAACTATAGATCCTACATATCGATTGGACGTGGATTCTGAAAGTACAATATAGACTTCTCGCTAGAAATCTAATCAAAAATTGTTTTAATGGCCAAACTATCCTACAATTTAGGATTTTACAGAGAGGGTTATTTGTGAATAAACGACCATCTGTAACGTTAGCATTCAACGGGAGCACTAGAGGGCGAAAACTTTAAAACGTGATTATAGGACGTATCAAGCGCTTGAACAAACGACATATTTGGTCGTAATAAGGGCCTGAACAATCGGCCCATTTGGTCGTATGAGTTGGAGGACTTGTTGCAATATTTTCTTATTTTTCATGGCATGTGTATTCGTCGTACTTAAAAAAAATTATCCACAATTTTAAAAGTGAGATCATCCTTCTGCTGGGGTATGCAACAAATTAACAAACGTTGTAGTTGAAGTAGACACGATCAAAACATTTTACTTGAGAGAAGCCTTTGAGATGATTTTAATCAGCTTATCAAATAAGTCTCCTTAAATATATTTAATTTGACTATTTACATAATGAAGGTGTGGCAAAGAGGCTTTGTGTGCTTGTTTTTCTCTGCAAAAATGATGCACATACAAACCACAATATGCGGAAGCAAAACATGTATTAAACTGTCATGTATTACTTCAGACACCACTATGATGGAGGAAATGTATATCTGGGAAATCATGTTCAACAGAAATATACTGAAACCGTCACCACACATGCAGGCTGGAATGCAAACCGCCTTATTGTGCATTATGTCTGACACATTACTGCTAATAACCATTAAAGCTGCAAACTAAGCGGTATTTAGTATTACTTTATGGACAAAACAATGTCTGTGCTATTATCTGAACACATTCTACATTTTGAAAATATTATATTCAACAATTGCCTGCAAAGATAGCCAGACACATGCACAAATGTAGACACCCAGTCTAGAGACATGCACATGCTTTAAAATACATAATACTAAAAAATACACATAAATAAATAAAACTCTCTGTTACCTGACAACTAGTCGATAACCAAGCTGCTCGACTGCAGTGAGCATTTCCTTATATTATTCCTCTTCTCTCGTACGTTAATGAGTGTCAAACAAATACCAAGATACTGAACAAATACTTCTCTTACTTCACACCTGTTTGTTTAATGTAATGTCAACAATCAGCCCCCCCTCCCCTCCCTCTCTGTCTCTTCTTCTTGCACGTCTTTCAATGTTGTAACTCTACACTCCAGGATCATGTGTCAGCTAATGAAGTAAAGAACAAAGAGGAAGAACATATTAATGAGAAACAGAGCAATGATGTAGTATATTGCTTGAAGAGGCAAGATATTGACAGAGTTTTTTATGCAGGGTGCACCCATGGGTGGCACCTCCACCATATCACTTTGGGTAAGGTGATCAGATGTAGAGACGGAAACAACTTATGTATTAAAGGTTTCAGCTGTGTGTGTACTTGAATAAGTGACACTGTGTCTCTGTACAATGTCTTTCGATGAGTCCTCCTCTGTGACACAAACAAGTGTGTGTGTGTGTGTGTGTGTGTGTGTGTGTGTGTGTGTGTGTGTGTGTGTGTGTGTGTGTGTATATTTGTATGGAGTAAATAGTCATAGGTGTGCCTTGACTTAAGAAGTCTCAAGCAGAAAAATACACAAGGTTTGTGTTTGTATTTCGTGATCACATGTGTGAGTAGGAAACTGACCAGTTACTCACACCCAATGAACTGCTCCTAAAACGGCTCTGTGTTGTCATGTGTTGTACGATGTTAGCATGTATTCGAAACTGGTAATTAAGAGCATTTTCAGTCAGAACTATAATAGACATAAATTACAAACTAAAATTTAAAAAATAAATGCTTAGGAGGTTTTACATATAGAAACATAGAACAGTTGTGTTCTGGTACCTGAATGCACCACGAAAGAGAGGCAGTGGTGAAAGAACTGCGTATATATTTTAAAGTTGAAGTAAACTATAAAAACCTTGTTGCAAGCATTGTCTTTAATTTGATGTATTTTGTCAACAGGTTCCACATAATTGTATGATTTAAATGTATAAAAAACGTTATTAAAACTTAACTTTATTGCTTTCAACTTACCTAAAACAGTTATGTGAAATATGTTGACATAATAAATTGAATTAAAGTTTCACTTTTTTCAGTGTAGCAATACCACAGCGTAGAAATACATACCATAAAGCTGTACTTTTGAAATATATATATATAAATAATGGCCAATTTAAGAATGATGCATATTGTATTTTCTTTATTCCAATTTTTCAAAAGCTCTGTGCAGTGGTAAATATAGTGGCAGTGCCTATGATCTATAATACTGAGAAACCACTAGAGGACAGCAGGTCCTCTTCGCATTAAAGGAAGTATCTTCTGAATCCATGACAGAAAAACTAAACTCTTGTTTCACTGCATGTGGGCACGGTGTACAACTATTAACTCTGAAATAAATGTTGTATGTTTGGGGAAAAAGCAGATGATCTTAGTGAAGGTTATTTTCTGTGGGAAGAGCCTTGTAGATCATGTGTTCTCACTTGGTTTTCCATTCTTTTGCATCTCTTTCCTACATAGTCATGTCGAAACTTAACAGAAAAATGTTAGGAATTTGGTGTATTTCATACAAAAAAAGCTAAGAGGAAGCTCATCTCACGCCTATTAAATACTGTAGTTGATTATACTTGTAGGAATCCCTGACACGAGTCATTAGATGGTCCTGTAACTGACTTAAAACTTCATGAAATTACATTTGAAGAACGTTGATGTTGTCGGATAATGTCAAAACGTAACAGTGTGTATTACTTCACAAATGTTTGACATGACTTTGACTATCAATTTTATAATACTTATACTTTCTGACAGCGTTAAACTGACAACTTTTTCTGGTAGTTTCCAAGTTTCCATCACATTCAGTTTGATTGAAGTTTGATTATTAAACATTCTGCGAACAGAGGCAATGCAATTCCTTAAAATGCTCTGACTGCATTATACATTTAAATGATTCATTATTTCCAAAGGTGGATATTTCCAGTAAATAGTTCAGTTTTGTTTCAGTTTTTTTTTAATAAATCATCTTAAAAGCTGGAAGAACTCTCAAAGATTTGTCCAGCAACCAACCTTCTCATCTTCCAGTATCCATGGTTACAAGCTCATCCATTGTTGCAACATCCACAACAAAGACTGAATCTTGATTTATTGGGTTTTAATATCTATTCTAGTCCCAGTGTGATTACAGTGTGATTTACTTTGAAGGATACTTGCTTAGCGTACTTAGAAAACAATAAAAAGTTAACCACTATATCAATCACTAACACATCTACAGTACAATATTGAAGAGTTGTGTCCTCCTTGAAGCATTTCTTGAGTCAAAAGGTCTACATCCACACCTGCCGTCAATATTTCTCCACCCCTGATAAAAACTGCCTGAGCAAGGCCGTATCTTATGAGTTATCTGATGTTGTAGCAGGACCTCTTTAGAAGCAAATCCTTTAATGTGGCCTTCCCAAACTATTTCCAGCCATAATGTGCTGCATTAAGTACACATTTTAAATGATGGACAAAAGGAACACCGGAACATAAATTCAACGACATCGGCCTTCTTAAATATATTTCAGTTATAGATATTGTCTCGTAAAAAGTATGGGAGAAAGAACTTTAGGGGGATTTTTGTTCATCCATTTTCTTCTATGGTTTCAAACATTAGTATTTGCTAAACTACATCTTGCTAATTAAATTATTAGTAAAAAGTGTTTTTCTTTTATTACTCAGGCCCAGGGGCAAATAATGGGATCGTTATTTCTATTTGGATAGCAATACCGGTATTGACAATAACCGTAAATCGATATGTTAATGTCATTTTTTGTTATATTCCATGGAATGCTCTTAACATCCCGATAGCAATGAATATCTTAAGTGCTTTGACAAAAAATCCATAAAAAAATGTCATCTGTGGAAGCCGTAGTACTGTAAAGAGCACGATCAATAGTTTTAGCCGGCCCGGCTAAAATAACTGTTAAACTGTTAACCGGCTAAAATTACCTTTAGTACCCAATGTAGCCTATAGGCCTACTTCACCACATTGCACGACTGATAACACCCGTCTATGTTAAATATGTATCATAGCATACCTATCTCCGTGAAATGTAACTTTAAAAGTCTAGATAATATCTGTCACGGTGGCATTTTACATAGTGTTTATTCTATTAAGTTTCCTCATGAGCTTGTGCAGGCTTCCAATAACTAAGGGCTTCCCCGAGGTGCATGTGCTTGTTTAAACTGGCGACTACATAAAGCGCGCGCACAGTTTTTCATTTTTTATCCTGAACCAAGAGAGAGAGAGAGAAAGAGAGGGGAGAGAGGGGAAGAGAGAGAGAGGGGAAGAAAGAGAGAGGGGGAGAGAGAGAAAGTGTGTTCCTTGTAAAAAACAACAACTAAAACAACATGTTGTGCTTGCTTATTTGGAGAATTTAGCAGTTCGTCTCAAATGTGTATTGTGTATGGATGTTGCAATTGTACAGAGCTTTGGCAATACTGTATGTAATTATGGTCATGCTTATAAATCTATTTTAATTTAATTGAAAGAGAGATAGTGAAAGGGAGAGAGAGAGAGAGAGAGAGAGAGAGAGAGAGAGAGACTGTCTTGTCGCTTCCGGCTTCCAGCTCACAGACAAACAGCGCTTTACTACGAGCTGCAGCACTCATGACAACAGAAACCTCCCCACAAAGTATGAGAGCAAGCTGCGAGAGCATTTCACTGCTCGGTACGACAAGCTTTAAAGTTTTTGTGTAATAAACACAGCGAAAACCCTCCCGGGAAACCAAACTACATTTTGAAATCTTCTTCTTCTTTTTTAGAGGAGGCTTTTTTGGGTGAAAAGGTGAAAAATCGGGGAAAAAAGCACCGGCGGCAGCGTCGAAGAAGTTCGTTTTTTTTGGAAGAAACCAAGAACACGACCACAGAAGAAGAGCATATTAAGTTGCTGTAGTGCACACGGAGCAGCGTATTCCTATGAGTCGCGTTAAAAGTGTCAGACACAGACAGAGAAGAGTCATCCTCGGGATTATAGCTGCTGGCATCTGGCTGTAATATCACTCAGACCAATAAAAGTGTCACGGAGAAGCCTTGGAGAGGACGGGACCTCGGGGAGGTAAGACAACCAGGGCCTGCTCATTTCATTTCTGGAGATAATTGCTGTTCCAGAGAGGCTATGACACTTTAATACCACCTCCTCTTGTGTAGATGGAGAGGTTAGAGTGAAAGTTGTCAGGATTAGGCCTAGTCATCCATCCAGAGAGTGTGGAAATGTTTACTATTTAAGTATTTTTTCCATTTAAAATGTGTCTATAGTACTCAATCAGTATTAAGTCCTATTGTGCCGAATTCCGATTAGTTTATTAATACATATGTTGTTGTTATAAATGCTTCAATCTTCAAATAACCACTGCTTTACAATTATGTGCTGCACTAATACTGAATACTCATTTTAAAGCATAATATAGTTTAGAATTCAATAGAGTTGGACAGGATTGTATGGCACCTGAATTCAGTATTAAATCCATTCATTACACCAGGATCAATTCAAATACCTTAACAAATCAATTTATGTTTCGCTCTCAACAACTCTAGGCTGTTGAACAAAGATACATGCAAAAAAATCCTGAAATCTAAATACTTGAAACTACTTAATTTCTTTCTTCAGGTTTTACATAAATGTGCTCTTCAGCTACCTGAATGCTTTGCACATCACTATGTAAAGACAGCTGGAGGAGACAACACGTGTCAGACTTAATGAATTATTCTACCAGCTTTCAACCATGACTCAAAATGCACTCAGAGAACCCAGCACTTTTCATTATGTTAGCATTAGTTAAACAGAATACGTTTAAATAGAGGTTACTTTTAGGACTGCAGCTAATTATTATTTTCATTAAAATGTCAAAAGAACTGTTGATGTTATACATAAAAATTACTTCGATGAATCCATCCAAAAAATCGACTTATGGGTTGATCGACTAATTGTTGATTCTCTAAGTCTTTCTCAAGACCCTCTTGAGGCTGCATCCTCTCCTGGGAACCATTACGCTCTAAGTGGGGTTCTCTGCTTTGAGTATCCCATCTGCTTATAGGTCTATTGTGGTTTAGCCATTTAAGTTTGCTGGATTGATTGTGACTAGAGCTGAACAAATAAAATAAAAATGATCGTCATTGTGATGTAAACTTGTACGATTTACACATTGGAAAGGTCTGCGCTATTGCACAAAGGGATTATTTGGGTTTGTTGGAAGATGAATGTATCCCAATGTCACTTAAAGAGTCAATATAATTGTGTGCAGCAGAAAGGCAGAACTAAGTGCCCTTTAATATTTGTTTGTTTATCGCAAGTTATATTGTTTATGCAATATTAAAAAAAGTTGAGGCAGATCCAATTGTGATATAACATCGTTTCCAGAAACTCCATTGAGGAAGGAGATGTGAATTTATAAATAAATAGGAATGTTGTTTTTAGCTACATATAAAGCCACATCAAAATGTTCTAAACATCATGTTAAAAGCCAATGTTACCATAAATATGTACTGCCTATTTATGTGTACCATTGGCTATCTAATATGAATGCAACAAGTGAAATATAACTGGTTAAATAGCATAGACAGTATGGTCGAATAGTTGATATCATCTCACTGTTAAAAGGCGTCAAAATGCCTGTCCTGCCATCTGCCTTTAAACTTGATGGAAATATCTGCATCAGCACCTTTGAATCTTTATCTCTGCTGAGTACTAGTGCACTGTACGTAGGTTTATTGCCCACTTGTGTAGGCAAGTGGACAGTTTGAATACTCACACAGTCCCACTCAATATGACATTAGACTGCGCTGAAACACCGACAGCTTTTGGAGGTTGTTATCAGTACATCAAGCTCTTCTTAACCAGCAGCTGTTGCTTACATTTCAAGTACTCTGTTTTTTAAGTATCAGGATAATTAGGATTATCAGCACAGTACCAAGTCACAGCCGTAGTTTGCTTTTATTTTCTGCATCATGGCTGCTGATAAATGACACTGATATGGTCTCTTAAAATGTGTGGAATGTCCATAGTGCTGCTCATGGACACTTTCTGGTGACACCTGTATCTCTTTGTACAGAATGTAGTGACAAGTGGTTTGCAGAATGGGATCAAGTAGAACAAATATGTGTTGTATAATGGCTTTGCCTTTTTTGGGTGATTTTTTTTCTCCTGAGAAATATACTTCAGTGGCTCTTAAGTTAGTTCATTGCAGTATATGTTCTCTGTTGTTCCTAGAAGCAACTTTAAAAGCGAGATCAAACACAGCTAAGAATGGAAACAGTCCAGGGTTTAAAAAGTTGTGGAGCCCTGTGGGGAATCATACATTTTGTCAGTCACGCACAAACTGACCGTGAGTGCAAAAAGAAAAAAAGTCTTATTGATGCAGCTAACCTTGTGCAATATGCAGCTTGACACTGATTCCCAGTTCAGCTTTATTATGGCCTCTGATAGACTCACTATTCAGAATAAGCAGAAAAAAGACTGGTCAACACTTCTTTATCCCCCCTCATGATCTTTCTTTCTGCTTTGTTCCTTTTCCTGCATTCTCCTTCCCTCCCTCTTTCTCTCTCTTTATCTTCCCCAGACCTGAATGGTTGTTGTTTTGACAGAAACCTTGGGGACATAAGTGTCGAATAAGGAGATAGAGGTGATTACACAGTGTGAAAGAAGCTGCCCTGGTGGTTTGTAAACTATCCGAGAGACAGGCCATTAAGATTGTTTCCTGCATCTCTCTAACTGCGTCACTCCCCAACAAGGAAACCCCATGTTTACCCCGTAGTTCATGACCTGATGTCTTAACTTATCCAGAATCAAAACACATCCCAGGGCACTTTAGGGAGCTCAGCGCATGACGAGAATAGCAATATGCATGAATGAGCCCGAGAACTGGACTCAGAAGGACTTGTTTTCAAGATGTTGGAGCTTCAGTTTGAGTGTCCTGCAAGATAGAAATGATTCTATGTTGTGCAAAAATATCAACTATATTTCCAATTATGCACCAAGTTTTCTGAAATATTTCTTTAAAATATGACAGGAATAATACAATATATTCTCTCTAATTCCTGCATAGGATGATCACTCGGCATTTGAAAAAAGTCATGGTGTATAAAATGATTTGCCTGCAGTCTAGACGCCAGCAATGACTTATCTCACTTTGAACAATGCCGGCTGTGAGTCAGCCAATCAGAAACAAGGCACTGAAGTTGTGGACACCCCTACAGTTGTGTTTTTTTATAGCTTAAAACTATTTGTTTTTTTGACTGAGTTCGAACCGAACCCACAAGCACGCCATTTGGAAATTGGACGTTTCTGCAAGTGTTGCGCAGTCTGACCACGGTAAGGCACAGCGCAGCTCATTTGCATAACTTATTTCAAATGTCACTACCTGTTTTGAGCAGATACTACAACCAGTTGCTTTTGTTCCTAGTGTGAACCACAAAAAGCACTAACACGATGATCGACGACTGCATTCGGCTGAGTGGTGCCCAAGTGCTTCCAAGTCAATTGACTCTTTAAAAAGCAGATCTTTAGAGTTGTCCATCTTCCAACAGGAACTAAAATGACCATTTTCGTTTCTGCAAAGCCTGTTTCTTACAAGAGTTCTACCCTCAGATGAAACAGAAAGCACACTACCTATTTTTTGTGAAGTCAAACATGACCAACACGAAAAATGACATTTTGCTTTTTCTTTTTGTTTAATTCTGCTGCCACTTATTATCTGCCTCGTTTTAAAATCAGATTGACCTTTATTAATCCCTGTTGGAAAATGCAGGAGTTTAAAGCAGCAACAGAGTGAGAGTGAAAAACAGGACAGTACAGATTCACACAAGGCTAATACAATTAGAAATACAATGATATAAGTAAAAGAAGATATCACTTTCAAATGTTCTCTCCACGTTCTTCCATGTCTGCACGTTTCTCCGTATTCCCTTCCCCTTTCCACGTGCCTCCCACCATGTATTCCCCTGAAAGTGTAAAGAAGCACATTTCAAACAGTGTGTTGCTGCAGGGTTCAGTGGAGCTGCTCTTATTGGAACAGACACGTTTGCTACAGCTATGACACAAGAGCACCAAACATGTTCATACACTCAAATATGTGAAACTGAGAGTTTTCTTTATGACATTCTGGTGTAGATTTACCAGTTGCTTAGTTGGGGATAAGTCAACAACTAACATTGTAATAAAACGGCTCTTTGATATAAATATCTATGAAACATTAACAGAAGAAGTGGAGCTTGTCCATTTTGTAATCCTTGAATCAGAAATACTTGATTCATCCCCGGGGGAATTTTGACTTTGTGACAGTTGCTCCATTGTAGAATTAAAATAATTTAATAAAAACAGTTATATTACAATGAATACAGTAGTTTGAATCTTGCTGCCCCCTTTCACTTTCCTTCTTTTTATTTTATTTAATCCCAGCAGGAACAATGATACCATTTATTCTGACTTGTCCACATGAATAATCTTCTTTGCCCATGACGCAGTTAGGGATGGCTTTCCAGGAATCCAAAATTGAATTTCCAGTGTCTGTCCTTTTTGAAATAGTGCTTTTATTGAGAATGTTCCTCAGAAAGAATGTCTTCGGGTGGCTTTTGATAATTGGGTTAGGGTTAGACCAGGGGTGTCCAAGCTACGGCCCGGGGGCCAAATGCGGCCCGTGGACCATTTTGAATCGGCCCGCAGCTAATTCAAAAAGTATAATGGAATGTGGGCCACAAATGAAACCTGTGCTCGTCTTATATTGCACTTCTTAAATATGAATGTAAAAATATATTACACAGTAGTATTCATGTGTTAATAAGACCACCTTTCAAATCAATTCAGTCAATTCAAGTTCAGTTAAAAATGTTCTAACAGATCTTAGTTGATGAGCCCAATTACTTATTAACATAACAAGCTTGAAATACACCCTTCCTATTTCTCCTTATTATAATCAATCTGAGGCTTCTGTTTTAAGGGATGAGCTGCCAACACTCACAAGCATAGTTTACCTACATTTGATTGATTTTGCTAACTTAAAAATGAACTCATGAGGCAATATACCTCTAGGGAGTTGCCCAGCCCTTCGTATATTGTTCTGTATGTGGCCCTCGGTGAAAGAAGTTTGGACACCCCTGGGTTAGACACAGTAAAATGAACTTTCTGTGTTATTTCTTTCTTCAGTGGCGGGTGCAGGGAGCGGTGTGGAGCTGTTGCTGTGGACTGAAGACTGAAGAAACACTGAGAGCCGTCCTCCACCCCTCCCTGCTGCTCCAGGGGAGATAGTCAGATGTGCACCCGGCACTCAAAGCCCCTGGCCTGGCCGCAAGGATGGCAGCCTCTGCCCTGAACGGCCTTGGAGTCATGAACAGGTATGTTTTTCTTATTTTCTTTTACAGTGTATGACACATTGTTGTTGTAAGACAATGCTGCTTTCTTTGAGAGTTGTAGAGGAAATGCATAGTTAAAAAACATGTTTGTTGCCCATGAGAACCTGCTAGACCGGACTAGAAGATTCATTTTCATTTATAGAACATTACAAAACAATTTATAATGCCTTCCTGCTTCACACCTTAAGGAATATACTCTATGAATAAAATATCTTTATTTAGCCAGCACTTTCTTTTTTCTTTTTATGTGTAATCTAATAAGAGATGTAAGCTGTGAAGATATGATGTAATGGTTGTTTTGTTGTAATCAAATTACAGATTCATCGGGTAATGCTTAGACATGTTGTTTTATTAAAGTTGTATAACCTACTCATGTAAAAAATATATTACCAGTAGTTTTTCAACAAAATGTAGCAGCAGTGGTGGAAGAAGTACCCAGGTATTTGTAATTTCCCTAAGTAAAAGTAGCAATACTACATTGTAAAAATAATCTGTCACAAGTAAAAGTCCTGAATTCCAAGTCTTACTTAAGTAAAAGAACATAAAAATATAGGCATCAAAATATACGAAAAATACTCAAATTAAAAGAGAAATGGCCCATTTTGGGGTCATTAATTACTGTAGTATGATTTATTGATGCATTACTGTTTCACAACTTGTAAAGGTGGATTCTAATTACTTTATTTAGTGCTGTTGCTCAATGTTGATATATGATGTGATTTATATTTTTTATTAGCTAATATTCCCATTTGTAAAGTAACTAAATCTGTCAAATAATTGTACTATGTAGTGCAGTGCTTTAGAAAATGTAGTTCATTCCACCACTGCAGAGTGCTCACGTGATTACTTTCCAGTCTTTATGCTTAGATATGTTACTATGTGGTATAACCTACCACAGTATGACATCACTGGGTGTATTTTATCAGTGAATAGGCAACAACATGTAACAGTTATATCACTATGGTAATTACACATTCCAACCCTCTCCTCTCCGCAGCAGTAATCAGTTTCACACCCAACCAGGCTCCTCTAGCACCGCCTCCCGAACTAGAACTAGTCCAGTGGGCCGTCCTGTGCTTCCTGTTCCTGATCGGAGCACCTTCTGTCCGCTACTGGCCGTGGGGGCGCTGGGCGGAGGTCTCTACAGCCCAACCAGCCCTAAGGTAACTCATCCGAGAGCTGTTGTGTCGATTTTGGGCACTGATATTTGTAAGGCTTATTTGTTGTTATCAAAAATAGGTTATTAAAAAGAAAAATTATACATTGTTCTGTTTTCCATGTCAACGCTACAGTTTTTGCATTTTTTGTGGAGCAAATACAGAAGGATCTATCTCAGTTTGAGTTTAAAGACTCATATATATTTATTTTTTGTGATCAAATTTGTATTGAGATTAATACACAACATGTACAACCAAAAGCACAACATTTTTTTTATTTTTTAAATAAAATAACTAAAAGTATATAGAATAATAAAAAGAAAAATTAGACAACAGCAATTACTTACAAAATATACAAAATGCAGAATACGTGTAAGCTAAAAATAATACTCATATATATTTTATGAAACGGGACACCCTGATAAACTACCCATAGATTTCTAATAGGGGCCCAGACACTAAACAGAAAGCAATTACAACACATTACTAACACATCTGTAATTGGGGACAGTTCATGTATTTGACATAGACACCTTCAAAAAAACTAACCACATACCCCAATCTAACCCTAACTGCTAATTTGTCCCAAAATAGTAAACAAATCGTTATCTCTCAATAAACTTGAATAGATACAACTGAGTCATTTTCGCCCCTAATCCCGTTTTGTGTCTCCGCCTCCCCCCCAGAGCCCTCGAACCCTGGGAGGGACTTTTGTCTTCCCTCCTTCGTCCTCTCTCTCCCCCAGCCCCACACACCGCGCTCGCTCCCCCTCCCCACGAAGCCCGGAGCTCCTGGGAGTCAATGTGGGCCAGCGGGTCCGTCGACTGAGCTCCTCCGGGGGTGAGGAGAGAGGAGAAGGTGAAGGGCAGGAGGAGAGGGGAGGAGGGGAGACGGGAGGAGGCGAGAAGCGAGAGGACAAGAGACGCCAGGCGCAGCAGCTGCAGATACACAGAGAGCTGCAGAACGTGGAGGTGATTATAATGTGCCTCTCGTCTTTTCTCTATTTATCTGTGTCCTCTCTCTCATGTTCTATTCTCCGTCTCACTCGCCACATCTCTGTCTTTATCTAGGAATGCAATACGTAAGCAATGTTTTCAAACTCCGGAGAATTGATGTACTACTTCATTTAGATTTGTTGGGCATGTCAGAACAATGCCAGTAGGAACTCCTCTCATCCCGCTCCACTGATCTCAAAATCTACTCTAGCTTTGAAAGCTGAAAAACTAAAGGAAATTGAGTTTGGACTGACATTAATACAGAATGAACTGTATTCTTTAGCTCTGTGAAAGCTGGCAAATTGGACCTCTAGTCTCTTTCTTTCTGATAAAGGGCTTTTATTCTGAAATGTCTATCTTTAAGAATGTTAGTCAGTTAGATAATGCTTCAGTTACTCAATTCATTTCGAGCCAACTATTACAACTATCTTCCTCCTTCATGTGCAAACTTAATAATCATCATTACAGATTATTCAAATGTATTTTGCATTTAAAGCATCTCAATAAGATTTTACAAAAGCAGTTTTCATTGGTTTGATTTCTGTTTTATATTTGGACTCTTTTTCTTCTCAACCCACACTTGTTCTGTGCGTACTGCAGACAATCACACATTGAATTTGCAGCTTGCCAACACTTTTACATTTCTCAGTTCAGTCCATTTAATGCCAAATATTGGAAAATTCTAGACTTGAGGCTGATTTCTTTAGTTTGATCTTAATACTTTGAGTATATTATCATGATATTGTGTCTTGTCAGTACACATGTGAATTGATGTGCTCCGAACTATACAAAAACGAATAAAAGTAAACGGTTATAGTTGCGATAAGACAATTTCTTTCTCTGTTTTTTCCAGGTCAGGGGAAAAGTGGGCATTTTCGAGGCTCACATTTCCGGGATTCGTGCCCAAGTGCTTAACACTGAGCTCCAGCGCAGCCCTCGGCCTCCAAGACGATCGCCTAGCCAAACCCCCACCGATCCCAACCAAGGAAACACAGACTTTAAATTCCAGATGACCCACCCGCAAGAGAGTAAAGTTCCTGCTGTGGTCCAAAATGGAAGAGAACAGGAGGAAGAAACTGTGGAAGTAGGAAGGAGAGGAGATGAGGAGGATAAAACAACAAAAACAGACAACAACACACTGATTGGTCAAAATGGCAGCCATTCAGAAACAACAATGCAAACTCCATGTTTAGACGGAGCGTTTGTCGTTCGAGGCTCCCTGGAGACGTTAAACCCAGATGAAGGGGAGGAAACAGAGGGAGGAAAAGACCAAGGGGAGGTAGAAAACAAACAAATGTTGGGAGACGAAAGAGAACGGACAGAGGGAGAAGTAAGAGATGAGAAAGAGGACCGATCTTGCCTTGAGACGTCGCTCCAGACAGAGGGGGATAGGTTGGAGGTCAACCCAGGAATGGATGCTTTCCCTCGGGCACAAAGCAGTGAGAGCGCCCCCTGTTTAATGGACACCGATAACACCTCCAACCACGGTTCCTCCATCCCCGCCGTCATTATAACTGACCACGGGTTGGACAGCCAGCTTCAAACTTTTGAAGACCCCGGCTCAGACCAAGGGTTAGGCTGCACCCCCAGCCCCAGTTCCAGCCCCGTCCCCGGATCAAACTTCTCCACCCGCTCCCTCAGGAAGCTGTCGTCCTCCTCTGCCTCTTCGGCCGGGTTCTCGTCCTCCTGGGAAGAGTCTGAGGAGGACATTTCCAGTGATACAGAGAAGGGAGAGCAGCTCCTCAACCCTGAAGTCCTCACTTCTCAACAGAGAGCGGTAAGTACAGAGAAGTGAGAGTGTGTGTGCCCCTGCGACCTTTCGTAGTTATGAATGGCAATGACCTTTGGAAAGTGCACTTGCTGGAAATGCCAAATATTCACACGGGAAAAGTCTTAGAAATGGATCGTCTTGGAAAGTCAAAGGGATAACTGAGAGTTTTACAAAGACTCCTTTTGTCCACATTGAAATAACCCAACACATATTGAATGGATTCCTATTTTATTTCTGTAAGGACATTCATGATCCCCAGAGGATGAATCTTACTGACTTTGATAGTTCAACGACCTCTCCTAGCACATTTGGAAGTTACAGTACTAGTTAGCCAACAGTACCACGCTAAACTATGATGAGGAACATAGTACTTGATAAGCATTAACATGTTAGCATTGTCAGTGCATAGCATGTTGGCAAACTGATGTTAGCATTTAGCTCAAAGCACCACTAAGTACATACAGTGTTGTTTTCCATTCATTTGATCAATTTGTTGCATTAGATCATAGTTTTCAGCTGCCACCTTGTATATTTAAATTTTGACAGTAAATTCAGCTATATTTGAACATAGACATGCATATGTTTTATATATATATATGACATTTTCTCCAATTTTTATTTGGAATGAGCATTGAGGTTCTTTGAGGATTTTGTTATAATCTCAGTAATTTGACAAACCTTTTTTTTTTACCAAATCCAACATTTACCTAGTGCAATTTATCTTCCAAGAGCTGTGAAAAAATGTACCAGTGGATCTCTTTTTATTATTTTGCCTCAAAATGTGTTTATGTCATTGTGCATTGTTGTGTGTTTGAATGTGCCTGTGCATGTTGATGGGGTCTCTTGTTTTAAATTAGCCAGAGCTCTCTTCCTGAGTAATGGTTGACATTCAGAGTAACAAAACTAGCTCTGTGCCCCGACGTGTGTGTGTGTGTGTGTGTGTGTGTGTGTGTGTGTGTGTGTGTGTGTGTGTGTGTGTGTGTGTGTGTGTGTGTGTGTGTGTGTGTGTGTGTGTGTGTGTGTAGGGGTGTTTTTTAGTGTTGGGCCAATTTGAAGTTGTGTGTGAGGGAAAGCACGGGTGATAGAAGAAGGGAAAGCAAGAGAATTTGCTAGTCACACACACTTAGGCTCTGCCTGCATTTGGACGGTGTTCAAAGAGGAGGCTGAGGCCTGTTTGTGTGTGTGTGTGTGTGTGTGTGTGTGTGTGTGTGTGTGTGTGTGTGTGTGTGTGTGTGTGTGTGTGTGTGTGTGTGTGTGTGTGTGTGTGTGTGTGTGTGTGTGTGTGTGTAGGTGGGTGGGTGGATGTGTTTTTATATGTAGTCAGGATGAGTTCACAGGGCCATCTCACTTCTGCTTTGAAACACGATTCAACAAAACATTGTATAACAACGTTTCTGAAACATTGTGTCCCGTAAGTGTCCTTTTTTTAAGGACTTCATACTACAGAAAAAAATCTTTTAGACGTTGTTGCATATGGAGGGATGTTTTAATATTGAAATAACATGACCCATGCATAAGCTTTAAAACTGTGTCCCCCATGAGTTTAAAAGACTGAACATGCAAACATTTGAATAATCATCACCCTACTTATTCCCATACAACTTGGAGTGATGTGGTCCATCATTATCATTTAATTTTCCATCTTTGATTTCCTGTCGTGATTAATGAAAAATATGCTCCTTTAACCAAACAACCCCTCCCTAAACCAATTCCCCAGCTCTCCCAGGTGACATGGTTTCCAAACTATTTGTTTAAATAAATTTGGCTGATAGATTTGAATAGTGTTTGTATTGCTCTTTGCATATTTCCGGTCATTGTTTTTCGCTTCAACTAGGCAGAGAAAAATAAGGAAGCTCCTGCTAGCAGACAAGGTTTATAGTTGCTAGTAAAAGTCTGATTTTCCCCCATCGTAGCACAAAGATGTCAAACATGCAGGTTATTATACTATCATGTCTTTGTATGCAGCTTCTCACAGCTCCTGAGAGGTAGTATTAAGGAAACCTGGTGTATGTATGCAAGAGGGAAGCATGCAGAAACACATACAGCATGCTTGCTTGTGTGGGAGGTGTGTAGGAAAGAGGAGAGGGACAGAGAGAAGAGGAGTGGAAGAACAGAGTGAGCTTGAAAGTAGCACAATGAGAGAAATAGAGACAAAAACTTGTACATTTTAGGCAGGTTTTCTAAGAAATCATATATCTGCTTTTCGTCGCTATTTATTTATTTTATGACTTTATTTGGCATCTAAAATTGAACACAACACCTTACATCAATCATACTAGGAATAAAATTTGCTCTGGAAAAACTAAATACAAAGCAAGTTATTATAATAGTATTGATTGTATACATGGTGAAAAGATTAAGAATAGTTCATAAATAAGTGCAGGTTACATTTATCACATTTAACGGTGAGAGCTCTGCATTTATTTTTATCCTGACGACTGACTTTCCCCTCACCAGTTGAATCATTAAAGCTCCTTTGTGTTATCCATCCAAGTAAGCGTGACATGTTCATTTGTTCTGTATTATAAACACATCTGCGTTGCTATGGTCATCAGCTTTTGGATTATATCAAGTCATCTCTGAAGAAAGTACACGCTTTAACGAGTAGAGGCTGAATCCAAACAGAGCCATATATAGTCACTTTTTGGCTGATCTTTTGACTTTTTTTGGGCATCTTTCCAAAGTTAGAAGGCACATGCACTGCAAGTGTGTTGTGTTTGAGTCAATTGGCAGCGAAGGGGACACCTGTGATAGATTGGCATCTCTTTTTTTCTTCTACTGAATTTCAGTTGAGCTCTGGGCGAGGAGAAGAGAAGAATCTGCCCGCAGCAGAGTAATCGTTGCTAAGGTGACACACTATTTCTGTTACCCCATCAGTGGTTTCATATTTGTATTTTGTGCCTCTACTGTGACATGTTCACAAGCTTTTTTTGTTCCAAAAGGTCTTCATTTTCTCATACTGCCTGTGCTGGAGCACCTCT